GGCCATCGGGTTCTCACCATTTCAGCCCTGCCAGGTCTCGCAGATCTCGCAGGTCCCACAGGTGTCGCAGGTCGTCCCACAGGTCCCACAGATTCGTTCCACAGGTGCCGCAGGTCGCACAGGTACCACAGGACAAGTCCCACAGTTCCAACAGGTGTCGCAGGTCTCCCAGGTCCTAGAGGTCCCACAGATCCCAAAGTTCCCACTCCCACAGGTCCCTCAGGTATCTCAGGTCTTTTAGGTCCCACAGGTGTCTCAGGTGTCTCAGGTGTCGCAGGTCCCTCTGGTCCCACATGTCCCACAGGTGGCGCAGGTCTCACAGCTTCCGCAGGCCACACAGGCCCCAGGTCCCACAGGCCCCGCAGGTTCTACAGGTCGCACAAGTCACTCAGGTCACCTCTGCTGCTAGTAGGGTCCTTTGCCTGGGTAAGCTGGCTGCTTCTCGAGGTCCACGGAGCTTGCTCGAGAAGGGGCAGGAGGAGCAGGAGGAGAAATTGGTATCCGTTCGCGGTTCCGTCGTTATGTTTTCTGATGCGTATGATAATTCGTAGCACTATGAGCACGATTATGAGCATTCGTATCAGTATTACTGTTCTGATTAATTGTTGTATTTTACCGATTGGTCTGTCTTACTCTCCCCCCGGCGACGGCCAGGGTTAGCGAGGGCCCCACTGCATCAGCCTCAGCTTCAGCCTCAGGAGGCGCGACGGGGCCGTCGACGCAGTTGCCGAAACGGACAAGCGCTGGTGCTGCCCCCGCCTGCGGAGGCGGGGGCGCGATTCCAACCCAACTCATCGCAGATCGCCGCTGGTCTCGCTACAGTTGTCCTGGGCGCGCGGCACCTGCGCGGGTGCAATCACGGACCAGGGGCACCCTGAGTACCTTGCACGGGCATGGACCAGTACGGACCACGGCGCACCCAGCCTGGCAAGCAGTACCCAACGGCTCTGGGCGAACCACTGGCCAGCCAGCCGCTAGCGCACAACACCAGGCAACCTCAACACAGACTTTCCTTGCCAGCTGCCAGCGCAGCTCCAGCGCTGTGGCACACCTAGGGGCGCCAGGGACCGAGCGTCGATCCGCGAGGACGATCGGCTCAACCTCGTGCGAACCGCTGAGTCCACAGCGGCGCTCGCCGAGGCACCTGACACCCCATGGGCCCCATGGTTGCAGCTGGCATCCTTCTCGCCTGTCTGCGCTGTTTCTCTCTCGCGTGCCCCGAGTTTCCGAGGGGGGAGCTGCCCAGGGGCGTCGGGGCCGAGGGTCTGCCCGTGAGGGCCATCGGCCTAACCTCGTGCGAACCGCTGAGTCCATGGCGACTCTCGCCGAGGCCCTGGCGCCCATGGTGGCAGCTGGCGTTCTCCTCGTTGGCTATCGTGCTGTCCTCTCTGCGCCCCTGCCAGCTGGCCGGTCGGGTGCGAGCTGCCGCGTGCGTGTCGTGGCTGCCTTCCCGCCTGCGCAGTGGCACGAGCTGCTCGGCTCCTCTCCGACTTGCGCTCCGCTGTGCAGTTGTGGAGTTCACTGTCGCCCCGCGGAGGGCTCGCCCACCTCCGGGGTTGCACGCGGGCTGCATTCGCGCTAGTTTTTTTTTTAACAAAAAAAATGAGAGACAGGAGCGCGGCAGACTACATGGAGCACGGCTGACCAGCAGGACAGACCACATGAGCATGGCAGACCAGCACGGCAGACCGGCCGTAGCCATTTTGGCTCAAGACATTCGGCGGAGCTGGCGGCGGTTCCTACTTGCGGCAGGACTGGCGGCTTCCGGCTGCGTGGAGGCGAGGCTCAGCGACGCGCTTCGGGCCATCGCCAGCGTGCACGAGCTGAAAGCCGGCGACAGGAAGGCGGCAGTGCGCAGGGCCGTGGAGCTCGCCATGCTGCCGTCGGCCGCGATCCCCCCTCCTGGGAGCGGCGTCAACCCCCTCGTCCTCCATGAGGCCTGCCTGGTTGCCGTCGGCGCGGCCGACGTGGTGCAGGCCAAGGACAAGCTGCGAGCCTCCGGAAAGCCTGGGCTGGCCTCGCGGCTGGGCGCACTCAGCAAGGGCCGCAACCGCGCCGCCCACCCGCGCGGGCAAGCGGCCGCGCTTGTCGAGCTCGCGAAGGTGGCGGGGCGCTGGGACGCGCAGGGCATTGCTGACATCGGCCCCCCGGCTGGCAGCGGCGGCGGCGGGACCGTGGAGGGCCCCCCACAGACTCCAGGAGAGGACGGCGGCGGCGTCGTGCGTGGAGCGAGCGCCGAACACTTCGACATCGGGAGCGTGGGCGAGCCCTCCACGTAGCTGGCGTCCGATGCGGAGCCCGAGGTATGCACCGGTTGCGAGGAGCAGCTGATCGCCATCCAGGGCCTGGTGCTCAACCTCCGCGCCGAGGTCCTCCAGCTCGCGGCGGCTGCGGGTCTGCCGCGTGGCGGTGGACCCCATCGTCGGCCCCGCTGAGAGGGCTGCCAGCGTAGAGCTGGACCTCGAGCAGTGGCCGCGGGTCGAGGACAGCTTCGTACGCGAGCAGGGAGTGGAGGCTACGGATACTGACGCCCTCGCCACGGCGGCCTCCGGCGGCGGCGCGTCGCTGGCGGTTGTGGCCGAAGGCGTCGGGGAGGACCAAGTGCCCAGCGAGGTCGACAGCGCCGACGGGGTCGGATCGTTGGCCTTGGGACCGTCCTCGGCTGAGGCGCGCGTGCAGGCCGCCTTGCTGGAGCTGCAGCAGAAATACGAGCTCTGCCTGGGAGACACCTTCTTGGACCTCCAGGGGGTCGCGGACGCCACGGCCGCGGCGCTCCTGGTTCGTGCCGAGCCCGGGGCAGGCCAGGCGAAGCGCAAGAGGGTCAAGGCGCTCAAGGCGAGGGGCGTGCAGTGCCGCGCTGTCATCGAGATCGCCTGCGATGCGGTCGCCCACCGCGTGGCCACGCTCATCGGCGTTCCCGCTGGTGTTGGCGTCGACCTGAGCGTCGAATTCGGGGAGGAGGTCTGACACCGCCTCGAGTCCGTCGCGGAGGCCGTCTGCCTGCGAGGTTGGTCCCACGGCGGGGCGTGCAAGAGCATCAAGCTCTGGGCCGACGAGATCCGCTTGGGCCTGAGTATCGACGCCCCCGCTGACCTTGGCGAGTGAGGGGCGGCTATGTTGCGGGAACCCTTTTTGGGTCACAGCGCCCTGTCGCTGCCGCGGCGCCGCCCATCTTCCTGTGAATGAGTTGGTGCGCTGCTGAATCGTTGCGCTTCGCGCCGATTGTGCTCCCTGACCCCTGGGGCTCGTGGGCCCTCCTGGGGTGGCGTGGGGCCCGAAGTGGCCCGCGCCCGCTTTTCTTGCCTCCTGGGGCTCACGCGTGCTGCGCCGCGCACGCCCTGCACGGGGACGGCGCTTGTAGGCCCTCTGGGACAAGCCCAGGGGAGTCCTCGGGCGCTGGCGCCTCAGCGGTGCCCCTTCCAGCCTTTTTAGGCCCCGCAGAACCAGAACCAGCACGGCAGACCACCACAGCACAGCAAACCACAAGAGCACGGCAGGCTTGCATGGCAGACCATAACAGCATGGCAGACCAGAACGGCAGAAGGAGCACGGCAGACTATAGGAGCACGGCAGACCACAGAAGCACGGCATTGCGGGGTCGGCTTAGAGGCCTCTCGACCGTTCCCCTCCACTTGGGTCGGGATGTCCCTTAGAGCGTGCGGTCCAAGGTGGCCTACGCTTAGCGCCCTCTCTTGGGGAAGGCCCTCAGGGCGTGCGGCCCAAGGACCTCTCCCAGTTAGCCTTTGAGGCCCCGACACTTCACTTCACTTCAGAGGAGCACAGCAGACCACAGGAGCACGGGAGACTACAGGAGCACGGCAGACCAGCACAATGAAGCGTCAGTAAGTATATTGGTTTGATTGTTTCGTCCCCGAGTTTCTTTGAAGTTCCACGCAGGACGTTCTCTGACAAGGTTCGTGAACAAAAAACGGGCGTCTCCCGTTTGTGGACGGTCGGGTTTCTGAAACATGTCAGTCTCTTGCGGGACATGTTCCGCAAAGTTGTTCCGGCGGGGGGGGCCGAACCAGCATCGTCTTGGAACCGCTCCTGGAGAGGCCCACCGTGGCCCAAGAGAGCCCAGCAGGGCCCCCTTCTGGAGGACCCAGAGAGGACCCGAGGGGCCCCCAGAGAGAGCCCCGGGAGGCCCCCAGATGGCACAAGACGGCCCAAGACGGCGCCAAGACGGTCTGAGCGAGCCCCCACAGAAACCTAAGACGCCCAGACGGCCCGAAAAGGCCCCAATAGCCCCCAAGAGGATTTCGACAGGCCCCCAAGAGGCCCCCTAGATGCCGCAAGATGGCCCCAGATGGCCCCAACAGCTCCTAATGTTGTGTCGAAAGATCACGAGGACCCCGTTCTTCGACGTCTTTGCTTCGGGTCCCTTTACCGTCCTCCGTCGTCGTCGTTTTTTTATCCTCCTTCTCATCTTCCTTCTCCGCTCAGTTCCTCCTCGTATTCGTCCTCCTCCATGGATTCGTCCTCGTCCTCGCGCTTGTCTTCTTTCTCATTGTCATCTTGCTCGCACCGTTGTCCTTTCCGTCATCCACGCTGTCATTCTCGTCATCCGACGCCTTGTCGTTTCCATCACCCGCACGAGCTCAACGGACAAAATCGGCGCTTCCTGTTGTGTCCGATTAGGTTTTTGCTGAGTCCTGACAATCCTCGACCAAGCCAGAACACCGTTCTTGGGACTTCAACCGTACGGATCCTTGCAACCGTCGTGAAGCATCAAAATCGCATGTGAGTGGCGCTGAAACGAAAGCCACAGTTTGAGAAGGAACCGGCATGCCTCCTTTGTTGAAACATATCAGCGAATGTGCGCGGTGCTACGGCGAGATCTTCAATTTTGGAAACGGCCCGCCCTTCATCCTTGAATTTGCTACAACATTGTAGGACGAATGTGCGCGACGCAAACACCGACCCTCCATCCGTGTCAGGCGAAACGGCCAGCCCGCCATACCCACACGTCTAGGGGCGCGACAGGGTGGAGCTATTTATAAGAGAGGGATGAAGAAGTGGGAAGAGGGCGACCACGATGACGACAGGAGTCAACCAGAAAAGTTGTTTGCTGAATTTTCTGAAGCCATCTTTGGGCCAGGCTGGGATCGACCAGAGAAAAGGGTGTCCTCAATGATACCCTGGCCCCGTCGGAGCCCGAAGAATCGCCTTACTGAGCCTTCTTGGGCGCTCTTGGGCGCATTTGTGCCCGTATTGGCGCACCTCTGGTCCCATCCTGGGGCTCTCTTGGGCGATGTTGTAGCCACCGTGAGGTGGTTTCACAAGCTTCACCGGAAGCGAGAAGGCGAAGTTCCAAACACACCGAATGTACTCAGGTTGGTCGTCTTTTTCTGATTCGTTGTTTTGCCGATCGGCGCGGGCCCTCGCACCCCCCCCCACACAATGGAGCAGATCTTGGCTGCTTTTGGCGCCTGTTTCAAGCAGGTGGAGTCTCCCCCGCAGGACGCACTGTTGCAAGCAATCGCGCTAAGCAGAGGTTCTTCGCCCACTGTCGAAACGCTGAATCAGACAGCGTTCTCCGAACCTCTTATTCATCAACCAGGGGGTGACAAACGTGAAAACGCGGCGCGGCCAACCCCCCCCGGCACCACCCCCGCGCCCCAGCGGGGAAGGGAACGAACACCAGAACCCCCCTGGCACCCCCGCGGACGCACCGCAGCCAACCCCACCGGGCACTCCAAAGGGAGGGTGATTATTGAGCGATCCAGCGGTTTGGCCTCCCAAGCGAGCCCGCGATTAAGCGATCCAGCGATTATTAAGCGATCCAGCGATTATTGAGCGATCCAGCGATTTAAGCGATCCAGCGAGAGTTCACGTTGTTGAGCGGTTTGGCCTCCTTGCGCGGCCCGCGGGCGCGCGCCCACGCGCCGGCGGCTGTCGGGGAGGCGGCGGCGCCGGCGGGGGCGCAGCGGTCGCCCGGGTTTGCGGGCTATGAGCCGCAGGTGCAGGCGCCGTGGCGGAGAGGCGGGCTGTGCAGGAGCAACGACAGGGCGGTATGGTCGACTAGACGTAAGAGTGGCCTTTCGCCGGAGTGACCTTTGGTGCGGGCACAGATGGGTCCCCAGATGGCTGAAAACGAAGCGGTAGCAGCGGCTTGCGCGCCCAGGTTTGGTCCCCCCGCGGCCCCCAAAAAGCCGCGCACCAAAGGTCACTCTTACCCAGGGTCAATCCTGCGTGTAGCCGATATAGGCGCAGGTGTGGGTCGGGGGTGGACAGACCTCCTACCCTGACACGTCGATTAAGGAATTGACCGTTTTCGGTCCGCGAGAGGGCGTGGCGGCCGTCAGTTTTGCGGGTCCAGGTCCGTCGGTTTCGGTCCCAGGACGTTTTCACTAGGGGGAGGTTTATGAAAGGGAGGTTTATCCACCGCCGATGTTCAGAAGCAACGATAGGGCGGTATAGGAGCAGGCGTGGATGCATCGACCCCCAATCGCCCATGGATCGCCGACAGGAGCCCGATATCCTCAATTTGCCGAGGCGCGGGCGGATTCACTTCCGGGAGCCCATCGCCGATCTATCGGCGATGTATCGCCGATTCCAGGTCGATGCGTCCCCTTCCTATGCCATTCCTCCGCAATCGTTGCGCTTCAGATGTTGTTGCCTAGAGGAATGTGGCACGAAGGGTGTTGCAAGATTTGTTTATCCAAATGTGGTGCCGATCGATAGGAGCTGCAGCTCAGAACATAGAGATCGGGTCCACGGGCCCCCCCTTCAAGTTTGACCTCGCATCGTCTTGATTCCAAGTGCTTCCTCGGCGAATGGCTTCCTCGGCTATTCCTAAAGGAGCTTTATGTTATGTCACAGGACTCGCCCAGAACTCCACTTGCATTGTACAGGATTCTTCGGGGAGTGGATTAGGATGGTATTGGAACTCGACAAGATCTCACAGGAAACGTATCGGATGTTGGTAGGATCCCGATCGGTTATCACAGGAATCGTATAGGATTGGTAAAGGTTCCATATAGAACGTCAAAGGGATCGTGTACGGGACCCAACTAGGATCTCACAGGATTCTGATCGGTTCTCGCAGGAATCGCACAAGATGCCCATAGAGTGTCCCATAGGAATCGTCTCGGACTTCTATGAAAAGGCGATGGGATCCAACTGGTTTTGTTTCTATAGGGTCTCATAGGGATCGTGCAGGATCCCCATTGGATCTCACTTGAATCGCACAATATCTCTATCGGTCGATTCCGATGGGAGTCGCATAGGATCCCATCTGAATATAGGGTCCCGATGGAATCTCACACAAATCGTACAGGATCCCCATAAGGTCTCGCAGGCCAGGATCCCTGCAGGACCCCATAGGAATCGCACAGGCTTCATATAGGATCGACTAGGAACCGTATAGACCAGAGCAGAGCAGACCAGATTAGAGTGGGGCAGATGGTAGAGAAGAGTCGAGCATAATGGAGTAAGTAACCCGGTAAACAGGTAGAGGGGTAAACAGAGTAGATTGGAGTAGAGAGTAGAGCAGAGTAA